GCTCAACACACGTGGCAAGGACCAGCTACCGTGATCAAACTTACCAGGCCACACTCTGCCAAAATCGAAATGGAAAACGGAAGTATTAGGGAACTCCATATAAATAAGTTAAGGCCATATATTGCTCGTGTAGATCACGTTGGTATCATTTTTGACCAAGATGAAGAGTTTGGAGATATCCACTATGCACCAGCAGATCTTATGAATAAATCTGCTGATGATATCTGGACCCATTTACAAAATTTGAAAGGTGACTTAAAATATTACCAACGGGAAGGACTATTTAAAGTACTAAAATCTTATGTAGATGTTTTCAGTAGAGCAAACCTGGTCAAGCCAATGTTGATGGTCATGACATCAAGGTTACAGAAGGATGTAATCCGAAAAGATTGAGGCCCTACCGTGTTCCTGTTTCACTTCAAGAGGAAGTCGATCGTCAAGTTAAAGAACTGTTAGAATGGGATCTTATAGAACCCAGTGACAGTAACTGGGCACATCCTATAGTATGTGTTGCAGCAAAAAAGAATGGCGGCGTTAGACTGTGCATAGACTTCAGGCTTTTTAATTGCTTCACAATTCCGGACGCCTATCCGATGAAGATTGCTAAAGATTTACTATTCGAAATAGGGAAAGCCAAATTCATAACAGTTCTCGATTTAACCAAGGGATATTGGCAATTCCTATGAAAGAAGAAGCTAAACCCTACACAGCATTTATCACTCATTCCGGCCATTACCAATGGAAAGTTCTCCCTTTCGGTTTGAAAAATGCTGGAAGTACCTTCCAAAAATCGATGGATAAGGTGCTTGCAAACCATAAGAAAATACTGCCGTTCATATATTGATGATGTGGGCAATATTTTCTGAAACTTGGGATGACCACCTCTATCACATCGACCAAGTGTTTCAGACACTGAGAAACGCAGGTCTAACCGCAAATCTAGAAAAGTGTGATTTCGGAAAAGACCACGTGAAGTTTCTAGGACATGTAATAGGTTCTGGCACTCACTCTCCAGATCCTGAGAAAGTAGAAGTCATCAGAAATCTGTCTAAGCCTACCACTAAAAAAGAAGTCAGGAGTCTTTTAGGGCTAGCAAGCTACTATAGGGATTATATCCCAAATTTTCTGAGATTGTTTTACCTCTAACAAACTTTACAAAGAAGAGTGTTCCAAATAATATTCCATGGGACTCTGAAAAAGAAGCAGCTTTTAACAAACTTAAAGAAGAGTTGATTAAAATGCCATCTCTGCATACTCCGGACATCAGCAAGCCCTTTCAACTCTATACGGATGCATCTGCTTTCGCAATTGGAGCGTGTTTAGCTCAAAACGACGAACATGGCAAAAGAAATGCCCATAGCATTTTTCAGCAAGAAATTAACGCCCTGTCAACAACGATGGTCAACCATCGAACGAGAAGCATTTTGTGTCATCGAAGCCTTGAAAAAATTTGACACATGGATTTTCGGTGCCAAAGTGCAGATTGTGTCTGATCACAATCCCCTCACCTACTTGACCCAAAGCGCCCCTCATGGTGCTAAACTGTCTCGTTGGGCCTTAGCGTTACAACGGTATAACATGACTGTGACATACCGCAAAGGAAGTTCACATGGGAATGCTGATGCTTTGTCAAGGTTAGCTGTTAACTCTTTCTCTCTCAATGAACTCTGAGCAACATTGTCTCTACGGTGACGAATGTGCTTCTTGTGGGGGGACTTGTAAAGATCATGACTTGTGAAGATCGTGACTTTAAGAGAACGTGAAATATAAATAATAGGACAAGAACTTGCATTTTACGGTGTGGCAACAAGAAGAGGATTGGAAAGATTTTTATATATATTTTTGTTTAGAGAGTTGAATGTTTTTAATTTTTGAATAGTTGTAAGAGTTTTAACTGCAGTAATTAAGAGTTTAAAATTTTGATAGTTTAGAGCTGCAGTATTTATTTTTTTTTGGTTCTGTTTTAAAATTTAAATAAAGGTATTTTGTTTATTCTGAAAAATTAGCTTTATTCTTCCTACAAGATTCAATATTCATTATATTGAAATAAGGAAAGGATCTTTACTTATATATATATATACCCGCACTGTTACCTGGCTGGCTAGGTGAGCTTAGTTTTTTTAATTCCCATATGTTAGTAAATTGTGCATTTTTGCTTAAAAAGAGATTGAATTAGGCGGTTTTTATGTTCCGGTTAAGTTTTTTATGCCTTTAGTTAATCTGTATGCAATAGCTGCAAAATTATCAACAGTTTACAACTATGGCGAGTTAAGCGTGATGAACCGTCATTTGTTTACATTTGAAACTCAGTAAGATAGTGAATTAATTCATTCTCTGCATCTTCAATGTCTGTTTTGCCGAGTAGGCCCAAAAATTTAACTTTCAGTTTTGCAAACCGAAAAATCTACCTTCTTGCCCGCTGGCCGAGTTGTTTGTTTTTGCTTAGGAACTCTAATTTTACCTAAAAAGATTTTTTTATTGTTTTCTCTATTTTACAATTTTTAATGAAGATGGCTTGAGTTTTATTTTGCCGCGAAGTGAGAACTGAATTAATTGAATGAGAAATGGATTGGAAGAAATAAGTTTAAATGAAATGTAGCAAAAAATGTGTATAATTTAATAGGCCACACAAGAAAGTCATGTGGTATCCACATTAAATTTTTTTTCTACTGATGAAAAGAGATCGATATTAGTTTGTCCTCGAAATCGATAGATATTCATTCACAACTTAAGCCAATTCTAAAGTTGGTTTCTTGCCTAATTTTAAATTTTACTCTGTCGTGTTGCTCTTCCGGTCAAATTTTGCAGATCCTAAAAATGTAAAAATGTATTAAAAAAATAAATTGATTATAAAGAAGACGATATGTATCTGTGGTGCAATTAAAAGTGCAGATTATTCGTTGCATAATAACAGAAATTACAAATACGTATTAAATGATTTTACATGAAAAGAAGAATATTTCAGTATCATAAATGGCACAGGCAGGGCAAGCAATTCTTAAACGAATCTGCCAATTTAATGCCCATGTGTTTATATAAAACGACTCACACTGAAATCCAAGGCAGCCACGCAAGATTTCAAATAATTTTAGTTTTCTACAAATATAGTAGTGTTAAAAAGATGATTATAAAATTTTAAAGCATTTATTTATGTTCTCAGAAATATTGGTTACTTTTAGATGTGGTCGTTAGAAGCCAGTTGACTGAAATTAAATATTTTTTTAATATTGCATATTAATTGTTATTGCATTGTGGACGATAATATGGATGAATCTATCTTTCAAATAACACTTTTTGGTAACATTAGACTTGAATGTTTTCACTGCATGCTTGTTCGTTTCGTTCTGGAATGAAGTACTGCATTCATGTTTCATCGCAGTTTACAAGTGGGTAAAAAAATTTTCACCAATCTTTTCAAAATGCTACAGAAGTTATGTATTTGTAGGGAGTCTTCTTATTTTGAGCGTGTTCAGGTATCAAAAATGCGAAACAGACTAATGCTCACCGTGCAAATTTTAAGTTGAACCTTAATTAACGCTTCCATGCTACCAATACCTATTTGAAGATCCTACGTAATTTCTCTGATGGTGATTCTCTTAGGGTTTCGAATCAAGCCATCAAGGACAATCAGCTTGTTTTCTTCAACGGAGGTTCTCAATCAAGGTACATGTAATACATTTCATCCGACCTGTTTTAAAACATTTGCTCCAATCATACTGTTGCGTTCTACGGGCTCTTGGATTTGGAGTTATTGATAATAACACTTGATGACGAATCAAAACACAATTTATTTGCCTGTATTACACGGGAGAGTTCCAAAGACAAGCTTACAGTCGTCGAAAAGCTACGACAAACACGTTGGAACTATCAGCAGTACAGTCATACCTTTACTTTGACTTTACCGTACTATAACGGTAAAGTCAAAGCTCTGAAATACAGTTCCCGATTCGGTCTATTGCTCTCAAATTACTCTCTGAACCCAAGACGCTACCACTACTACTACTCTTTCTGCGTACAGACAGGGTATATATAGCTTTAACTAACCTTCGAGAACATTCCCGAGAAAAACCGCTAAGAATGCGTTCTAGAAAGTTCTTGCTCCATCTATATCATATCGCCAATTTTGTCTCCAAATGTCACCAAATTGGCGATTTCTCGCCAAAGCTGGCAACCCTAACATATCTTTGAGGGGATGCTATCTTACTGCAGCTGGGTATTTCGCAACAATTCACTCTAGACTGGGAGAGACACACATTTCCAAACTGATATTTAAGCCTCGAATAAATCTGAGAGGAAATAATACTTTCTTTAGTCAAAATTCTAATGATGATATGCTATTACGTACATCATGCTATTATTATACATAATGCTACTTAATTACTAATATTATAAACTTCATGTTCCGACATGTGAATTTCAACTAACTGAGGTGTCGCCCAGACGGCATAGTAGTTAGGGCAGCCTACTATGGTACCGAAAGGCCCGGGTAAGATATGGAAGTTTGTAAATGTATAGTGTCGGTGCGGTATGGCGGCACTCTAAATATGCGGCGAGCCGAAAGTTCTCTCGTGTGGATCAGTGGATGAGAAGAGGGATGGAATACCCTCGGATCCTTCACCGGGTGCTCTCTCTCGAAATTGGGGGGTGGAAAATAGAAGTCCAACTTCTCTTCGGAGTAGCTTCGCAGCCATTGTTCCACGTAATGAGAACAACAACAACAGCAACTAACTGAGGTGATAGAAAGAAATACCAGCACTATCATTATTCAGTTAAAATATGCATATATTTGTCCAATGAGTCTTGATTACATTGAACGTTTTCCAAGGGACATGAAAAATCCTCTTTATTACTTCTCTTGTAATATCTTAGCCTGAGCGTTTTTCGTTTAGGGTGGCACTACTAAAATAATTTTTAAAAAATCTTCCCTCTATTCCCCTGTTATCAATAACACTTAAAGTTTGCATTTTTTGTTATGATATTAATATCTCTTATTTTTACAGATTTTAGGAGCAGTACTGACTGCCCTTGGTGTTTGGATCAAGGTTGACAGCGAGTTCCTGGACATCCAAACTGGACTGAATACGACTCAGTTCAAAACATCTGCACACATACTCATTGCTACAGGTGTCATTATCATGATTGTTGGATTCTTAGGCTGCTATGGAGCAATCGCCAGTAAAATATGGATGCTAATTTTGGTAATATATCTTATATATAATAATACGATTTCTTTTCATTCCAACCTGATATTAGAATATCTTAATTCAGAAACCAGAAGTTTGTTATTTTATTTTGCAAATCTTTGTATAAATAATAGTACTCAGAAATTCATTTCATATAAAACTTTTGCTAAGATTCAATTTTCATAAGTCTCAAACAACTTTTTTAAGTTTCGTTTGAGTCAATTAATATAATAAATGTTTCTTTTTACTTCCTTGCACGAAATAAAAAGGAAGTATTGTAAACGCAAAAAGTTTCAGGCAGCATACTTCAGCGAAAATATCCATTTTGACCGCTATCAAATGCAATTTAACGATGTTTTTGCGTGATATCTGTACGTAAGGACAGAATAAAAAACTCTTTTCCTCCAAAAAAATTATAAGACTGCTTTAAAATGAATTCTAAAGAGAATTTTTCGTGGTGTCTGTACGTACGTACGTACGTATGTATCTCGCATAACTCAAAAACAAGTAGCCTCTGAACGTTGAAATTTTGTATGTAGGACTGCTATAACATGTAGATGTGCACCTCCTATTTTGGTTTCAATCGGCCGCACCAAAAAGTATATATATATATATATTGTCCAATGAGTGGATGTATATATATATATACATCCACTCTGTTACTCGACTCAGTGATCTCAGTTTCTTTACTCTGATATGTTTGTAAATTGTGCATTTTTTGCTTTAAAAATGATTGAATTATGTTGTTCTTATTTTCCGGTTAAGGTTTTTATGCCTTTAGTAAATCTGCAAGCAATATTTGTACAATTAATCTGTAATTTAAAAGCTGTTTAAGTGAAGTTAAGCCTAATTTTTAAAGAACATGGCGGACATATTTGTTTACATTTAAAACAGCAGAATAGTAGATTTGTTGCCAATCTATAGAAAGTAAGCTTCGCGATAACAAAGATAACGCCTTCTTTTATTATTGCGAATTAAATCATGCTTAATCCATTCTGGAATTTGTTGGAGTAAATAAGTGTTTAAGATTTACTTCGTAATTTTCAATACAGATATTTTGAGTTTTTATGTACTGTCGCGAAGTGAAAACTGAATTAATTGAATGAGAAATACTCAATCGTCTGTGAAAAACTGCTTCTTTTTTGTTTTGTTTGCTTAATTTCTTTTGTACATCGTTCTAGATTTATTGTAGTATTTGAATAGAACATGTGGCAACGATTAGATAATTCTTCAAATGACATAAATTTTGTGCATTCTGAGTTATAATAAGAACGAAATATAACTCTGTTAAGTGAACCTAGGACCAGAGTGTCTCTATGGTAAACAAATATAGTGAATTTTAAAGAGTGCATTTATTTTATTGTGGTTTATGAGCTATCGGCGAAGTAGATTTAATTCAATCCAATAAGTTTAAATGAAATGCAAGAAAAAATGCGTATAATTTAATATTCCGTACAAGGAAGTCATGTGGTATACACATCAGATTTTTTTTAATATTTGTTGACGAAAGTTTTATAAAAGGAAAATATTTATTACTGAAATAATTTATTTCACGGTAAAAGAGAAAAAGCATCTATTTTGAATTTTCTGTCTTTCTATATGTCAATAAGTTATTTTAACTTTACTGAAAGGTTTAAGTTAAAATCTTGTTACCAATCTTTTAAAATCTGCTATAAATATTTTAAATCTACTGATTTGGTTCTCAACAACTCTAATAAATTTCGGTCATTTCGAGTCTTAAATTATAGAGACTGCTTTAATTTTCAATGACATAACTATTATTCACAACTATTAAAATCACAATAACAGTGAATGACATAATATTTTATTTTTGTCGGAGGACCTTTGTATAGTAGGAAAAAAACTGAGAGAAATTTATCTTAAATATGGATCTTTATACGTAATGGATAATATTATATTACACATAGAGAGGAAAACTTAATAAACTGACATACTATAAAAAATAAATACATGCCTTCTTATCTTATATGTGTTTCAAGCAAGAATATTAAAGAAAGTTTTCTGAAATCCCGATCAACATTTCTTTTCAGTTTGCGATTATTGTGGTCATTATTATCTTGTTGGAAATCACGGTAATGGCAATTGTATGGACAGCAAGTACGAACAAAGATGTAAGTCAATATATTTTTTAATATGTCTGAATTAAAATTTTTCAGTATTTTTTACAATTTTTACTTGACGTTAAAAAATTCGTAAAAGTCATATATGAAAGTTATTTACTTCTATGTTAATTAAAAGTTTTTTTCACTATGTGTTACAATTTTTACTTGACATTAAAAAAATTCGTCATATTATAAGGTGTTTCTCCTGCCTCCTTAGCATACTTTCGTAGTGCTGCACGCTGGGCGCGTATTCCAGAGGTCCGTGGTTCGATTCCCATCGAAGACGTTGCTCATTTTTCACATCTCTTGCTTCCAAAAAAATACCTAATGTCTCTACAATATATGAAAGTTGTTTACATGTATGTTAACTATGTATAATTTTTCAGTATATTTTACAATTTTTACTTGACGTTAAAAATTATTAAAAGTTATTTACATCTATGTTAACTATATATTGATTGATATCAACGGTCCTCAAGTTAAAATAGTTGTTTCAAACCGAAAGATTGCACGAAGCACGCAGGATTGGTACCAAGTATAGCATAATTGCACTACTAAAAACAGCAGATAAGTGAATTAAAATTCAAGCAATTTTTAAGATTACTTTAACGATACTCTTTAAGAACCTCATTTTCTTGCTGGTGTCGGTCATTTTCGAATACGATATATTTGAGAAGGGAATCAAATTTTTCTTAAGAATTCTACTTTTCGACGACTTTAAATATATTTAAATTGCATAAATATTTGAATTAGAGGCACGATTTAAAAACAAAACCTTATTCTGCGCAGCATTTTACTCTGTTTCTGAGTCATCGAAAATGGTATTCAGATTCGGGTACTTACGTACTATCCGGCCCACCAGCGGCCGAGCGGTAAAGTCGCTGAACACTGGTAGTTCAGTCCGAGGTTCGAATCCCGCGAACGGGCTGGCTGCATGGGCGTTTTCGTGGTTTTCCACATGTGTAACGTGTATACGAGCCAGTTTCCCTTAGAAAGTCCTCCACGAAGGCACACCTCCCCTTAGGCAGATAGCCCTAGTGTGCTTTGCTGTAATCTCAATAAACCAAACCAAACCAAACTTACGTACTATCGCAACCATCTTGGCGCAATCTGTCGATTTTTTAAGGATAAAAATGTAAAAGTTGCTTAGCATGTACAAGTTGGTGAGTTCCCCCCCCCTTCTCCTTTAGAAAGTTTTCCAAACTCTTAGTATTTATAGTAAATTTGGTAAACAATATTAACATAGAACAAGAAAACATAATTTAGCAATTTAAAATACAAATTTGAATTATTAAATAAGGATTATGTTAAGCATTAAAGAAAATAAGATACGTACTTCTCCGAAACTTTCCGTAATTTGTTTTCGTTATTATTCTCCCGACCTACACAGCTATCTGTTTTCATTCAAAAAATCATCACAGAATTGCAGAGACTGGGCTTCGTGCAATCTTCGGCGACAGACGCTATCTAGAAAACGCATTTGCTAGTTGTTCCCTTTAGAAAATTTTCGGCAAAATTCTGCATGACTGCCAAAATTTTACCGTAGTTTCTTCTATTTGCTGGCGAATTCCACCAACTCGTATTTAAAACTAAGTTTAATGCCAAAAATATCACGATTTATGTATAAAAACCGTTGGAACTTAGAATACAACAAAATAGAACGCATACGAAAATGGCAGCGTTTGCTTGACTGAACCGATTGTTATGAGTATGGTTGCCGGAAGAATGATTATGTGCATAGTTTCTAAAATCTGGCACTTTCTGAAAATTCGGCTACTTCCTACTAAGAGGGTTGCGATAGTACGTAGGTACCCATATTCGGTTACATCACTCGTAAATATGAAATTCTGTAGATTCAGAAATAGATGGCGCGAGTACTGCGGATACGCTATCTGACGAGGCGAAAATTTTACTATATCGCCCAGTTTATTCAAATTCGACTGTTATTTCATCATAAAACCTTGACAAAGCGGCTAATCATAAAGTTTAGATTTTAACTCTAGAAAAAAGTGTATTTTCATGGCAAAAGAATGACTCTTGTAAATGGCAGAGGAATGACAATGTGTAAAGAATGATATTTCTAAAATCCTCAAATTTTAATTTGTCTGTGTACCCACACACAAGCAAAAAGGATATGGCGAATTAAATTAAAATTTACCAATATAAGTATACTTGCGAGAGTTTATCAATAATATTATTACAAATTTTGTATTCAGATAGATAATTTTATTAGAATTATAGTTAAAATTGTTGCATTTCCTCGTGCAATGCAGCGCGAGACAAATTTTAAGGGAAATCTATGCCGGAAAAGTAAGAATACAGGAGAACGTGCATTTAATTTTGAATAAGCGGATATCTTAGTAATTAGTATTCATATAGAATAAATGTTATTGACCACTATATTGGCTGTAACCGTAATTCCATCCTCTTATTGCTTGCCAGTAACTTCGAGAAACAGAAACTACTAGAAATATCTCACGACCTGTTGAAAGCTATAAAAGGCTCGAGAGAGAGCCTCTCAGCTTTTCTACAAAATCACAACCGTCAGGCCCAATATGGGATATATCAAGAACTGAAAAGAGCAGACTAATGCATCATCTGCTGACAACCAGCATAACCTCAAAGTTACAAAAGTCTCAGTTCAGTTGTTTAGTTAGTTGCTTAGTTGTTGTTGCGAGTTGTTTAGTTCCGCGGGAATTGAGATATCTGAATTAGCTTTCTCTTTAGATACGCTTTACATTTCGTTGTATTTTAACATTTTTAGCAGTTTGAAGTATAACTGCTGATTATTATGCGTGATATTGTGAACACTTATACGAATATCTCTGAGGAAAATTTCAGAGTTCTGAAATATTTCTTTTAATAAAAATAAATTTTATTAATGTATTATCGGACTTGTGCATTCAATCTTTTACGGACCCGTAAGCACGCAACGATATTAAGAGGGCCAATGAGAAAAAAAGAGATTATGTTAGTTTGTAGAGTAATTAGTTTTTTTTTTTTTTTTTTAAAACAGGCGTACATGAAAAATAAGCAACGAACCTGGATCTCTAGAATATGCGCCGAATATACTAACCTTCACAACACGAAGCCATGCTAGAAGGAGAGAGAAAATACCTTATATACTCCTCCTTTTAAAGGGCGACTGAGGATTAGGAGGCCCAATCGCCACATCCTGGTGGTGACGAATCATCATCCGCCACCTTTTAGTTCGGGCTCCACTGTAGAGCCATTAGAAATTTTAATGCAGGAGACGTGAAAAATATGCAATGCTCTCACCGTGACTCGAAACCTGAACCTCTCGAATACGCGCCGAGTGTACTAATCGTTACACCACGAAGGCATGCTGTAAGGAGGAAGGAAATACCTAATAGGATGAGCAGAGAATGAGAAAAATGTTTACTTCAGATCTTAATTTTTCAATAATTCATTCTTAAAACTTTGTATGTAAATTCTACATATTTTACGAATTTTTATATGGGGGGTAAGATAAAACTTTTAGTGATAGTTAAGGCTAATAAATTAAAAATAATTATTTAATTGACTACGAATAGTAGGATGAAATTGCCAAGATGCAGGAAGATTAAGTGTCCCGAAAAATCGCGTAGACAGCTCCGTACTGTCGGGAAACTGCATTTGATGTTTCACTTTTTCCTGAAAAAAAAACTAAACTTTTAACACATTACTGAAAATCGGAAGCCATTGATCATTATACACTCATGTCCATAAATTAAGGATAATGCAAAATCAGGCAAAGGGAGAGTTAGAAGCAAAACAAATTTGACTTATTTGTAAAGCTTATTTATTAAACAAAAGGTAAAGAGCAAAAAAAGATGCTATATGTATGATATTATTAAAAAAATTAGCAATTTTTTCTCCCTGGAGCAAATTAGAAAAAAAAAAAAAAAAAAAAAAAAAAACCTATTTACAAAAAACCAATATTACATGTTTGGTATGATTGTTAATACATTGTATGTCTCCCAGACGATGCAATACAATCCGTACAACGCCTAGGCATGCTGAGTATCAAATTATCGATCTGATCTTGGGGTATACTACACCACTCAAAAAGAAATGCTCTCCGAAGTTCCGGTAGGCATGTAGGAGGAGGTTGACGGGCTTCAACTCGTCGGCCAAGCATGTCCCACACGTGTTCTACTGGATTCAAGTACGGTGAGAATGCTGGCCAGTCCATACGGATGATATCCTCTTATTGAAGGCATTCGCTTACGATGTTTGCACAGTGAGGACGTGCGTTGTCATCCATAAACACAAATTGTGCGCCCATGGCACCCCGAAACAAACGTACATGTTGTTCCAGAATGACGTCCCGATAGATTTGCCTTTTCATGGTTCCACTTTGAACATGCAGGTCAGTTCTGGAACCCAGAATAATTCCACCCCAAACGAGCACTCCTGCACCACCGTAACGGTGTCGTTCAATGATGTTTTCTTGGTGGTAACGGGTACCTGAAGCTCTCCATATGAAATTCCGGCGAGAATCAGACTGCAAGCTAAACCTGGACTCGTCGGAAAACATCGCACAAGCCCACTGTTGCGGTGTCCACAATGCATGCTCTCTATTCCAGGCTAACCGGAGACGACTGTGAGTTGCATTAAGTGGAACGCATCTGACAGGTCTACGAGCATATAGACCAATCTGCCCTAAGCGTCTGTACACGGTCTGCCTTGAAATTGTCGTACCAAACCAGTGGCTGAAGATAGCTGACGAGACAGGTCTGAGGTGTGCTCCGCCTGTTTCTTTTGGCAGCAACTGCCAAATACCGGTCCTCATTCGGCGTTGTAACTCTGGGGCGACCTGTGTTGTAACGTCTACTCACATTACCATCATCTTGGAATCGTTGCCAACGCCTGGAGATGACACTCTGGGTAATTCCAAGTTCGTCTGATACTTCCAGTTGATATGATTCGACATAATATGGACTGAGAGACTGCCGATTTTCCGAAAAGTCGAGTTTTACTGAATAAGGAATGGGTGTTTCGGAACT